TGCATTCCTATGTATCTTATTTTGTCAATAACGAGCAAAAAGGTTGAGCCATTCAGTTTTATTTGATATGAAAATAGCAGTAAAATTCTACATTACAAAAACAGCAAGTCCTAATTTCATCCTGATAAGAGTGTCTTATATCTTACATAATAATGAAGCATTGCCTTTATAAAGGAAAACAACCATTCTGATTAATTACCGTGTTTTTAGGGTTTTCTCAAACAGTGCAGACCTTGCTTTTCCTAAAACATGCATTTTTTTATATTTTAAAACTAAACTAAGTGTCAAAGCTGTTCTTAAAGTCAACTTTAAGCATGTTTTAGAAAAGGAAAAAAATCCATGCAGTACTAGGTGAGGAGAAGTTGATTACAGCATGTTACTTGATTTTACCTGTGGGGACTTATTCAACTATTTAATTAAAGAATTTCTATAAAATGTTTTTTCAACATCAGAGAAACCTTAATGCATGAAAAGACAGCAGAGCTTTTCAACTAGAGTTAAACTGCTTCTTCATTGCAGCTACAGAAGAGTTTTTCTAGCATAAACATTCCCACACATTTTTAAATAATAGGTCATACTATGTTTTCATCCCTAACCACATTCTCCAGATTGAAATATCCATCTATGAAGACCGAGGTTCCAGTGGCTCCAGCTCCGGCAGCAGTTCTGTGTCCGGTAGCACCGCTCGATGACTAGGTGCAAAGCTTGCCCTGCAGGAAAACTTAGGACAATAATAACACCCATATTCCAACAGCCTTCCCGTTCACACTGAGCACTCACCAGCCTCCATAAAAATATTAGTGTCCATGACCGCTCATCACAAACATTGCTCCACTGCAGACAAGACCCGCACTTTGGTGTTTTTTTTCTTAAAGATGTGTACATGTAACAATGCTATTCAAATAGGATTTACAAAATCAATGTATCAAAGTAAAAAAATCAAGGAAAAGAATGGTCCCAAAAGGGTACATATGCTTTGCTGTCATAAAATGAAGCCCCATAGTGTACCAGCATTGTAACTACAATGATTTGTACCTTTGTGATTTCTATATCTTTATGTTCTTGTCAAAAATTGAAGTAGCTCTGAATTGTTGAACCTAATGAAATCAATTTAGGAACAGCAGTTAACATACTTTGCTTTAGATTGTAGGAGAAGTCTGGATGCTCTAAAAACATATGCAAGCAAGTCTCAGAACAAATATTAGCCAATATACAAACTTATTTTCCTATTAGAAGCTAAATTAACCACAAACAACAAGCTTATAGATTGGTAAAAATGCTCTAATATTTACTGCCAAGTCTTGCAATACCAAAGATTCTGAATGGCTGATAAGAAGCCAGTTCCTGCTTTGCACCGGTTCTTTAGCCTGGCCATCCATACTAATTTAGCCACTCTACAAAATATATTAGACTTAATAGGAGCAGGTAGAGCCTGGTTTCAAATGCTTTTAATAGAGTCAGCAGAACCAGTTTAGAATTAATCAGAAAAGATGTGATGCAAAAACCTTTTTTTTGTTTGTTTTTTTAAGGAAAACCTCTTATAGCAGACAATTGTTAAAATTTAAATGATATTTACCGCTAATTAAGGGCATCAATAGATCACTCCATTGTAGCTGCAAAAGCTGGAACGAAGCTTGTATTGCAATCTCAGTACATACAAACTCTTGATGTCCATGAAAAACCTTTCTGGGGCTTTATCAGATTGAAATTCTCCCCAAAAACATTTTGGTTGAATTTAGAAGGAAAGCAGTATGTTCCTTTTTATGTTCAATGGAAATTTGGAAAGCATACAAAAGCAGAAAACATTGAGCAAAAACAAGTAAAACTTACTGAAATAGAAGACTAAAATAAAAGTTAAAAGCCAAAAATTCAAGAACTAAACAGCATAGATTTATGTCCATTAAATACATGAACAGATACTAAAAACGCAAGGTTAAAGCCTGAAGGATAAAGAACCTAAGCTCTTACAGCAAAGGCTGTTTGGGTGCACTGCAAAAAGCTTTGATCGCAATTACTATTTTAAACAATTTTCAATTATATATTATTAGACTTTGTGGAGTTTAAATCCTACTTTACATTTAAAATATAATAAACAATCCTTTATTGATTCAGAGTGGGGGAGTTACAGCTACAGTTAGGAGCAAGGAGCATCCTCAGACAAAGGAGGCCTTCTTGAATACCTTATCTAACTGCCTTCTCTCAGTTGATAAGCTACTGGCCCCTAAATAAACGCAGGGTCAAAAAAGTGTACAGAAGTACCCCCTGGACTCCAAAACATTTCAGCCCTCTTAGGAGGTAGATTCTGCTCCGACACTTCCTGAAAGACCTTCCTTTTTGTGACTCCTGTTTATTGTTCAGGTGAAAACCCAGCTGGATTTATTAATAAGGCTCAGAGGTCAAAAAGGCTGGTTAGTGGATTCCACAAACATTGAGTCCCACTAAAAACATTATTACAGTGACATGGCTCAATGGCTAAAGAAAAGCCAACATGTCCTTAACTAGTTTTTTAAGAACACCTGCTAGTGAAAGAACTGGTTCTGGTTTTGGTTTAGCTTTGAAACCAACTTAGAGAAAAAGCCTTTTTTTTTTTTTTTTTTGACGTAAGCGTGTACCTATATGTTGGATTAGTTTTGACAACAATTGCTCAATGGGACCATTTTTTACCTCTCTTTTTCTTTTAGAAGTGTTCAAAAGGATCTAAAAAGTCTATACAGCCATATTTTCTCCATCTGACTGCACCGTTTCTTAACTTTCCGCCCTCTTCAAGGAAAGACACAAAGAGAAAGGTGCCAAGCCAAATACAACCACAAGCTTCACCTAACCTTATACCTCAACTTACACCAAGTAGCTGCACAACAAAGATCCCCTTGCCAATCCGGATGCTTTGCTGACCTCATTCAAATTAGCTCTGCACATCGGGAAGAGGATTTTTGTAAACATTGTGTTTTCTGTGATTCAAACTGACTCCAGAGACATTTTTACTCAGTGAAAAGTTCACTTGCCAAAACCTCACATGACCAGTGTTGAGAATTTCCCTTTTCTTTGACCTCCTTTTTAAACACTGCGCAAAGGCAGATGAATGTCAAACTATTCAAGTTTATAATGTAGCAGATTCTCTGTACTTTTCACTCTTAAATCTTCATTTTTCTTTTGAAGGCATGCAGACACCTGCAGTTTATGAGAAGCAACCTTCTCTGTTTTAATGAGCCAGACTCTTCCTATAATTAGATTATGCAAGGACTCACTGTGAGTTAGGTTGGATGTAAGGAGGGGAACGATGGATCAAAAAGTCTTCCTAAATCTTTATTTTAAAGGTACAGCTGCCCTTCCCTGATTCATGGACACACTTCCAAAGAACATTAAATGTCTAAAGTGAATGTCACTTTTATTTTGTGAAAGTACGTGTTTTCATATTGATAGTTGAAACATGTGGCATAAAAGTCTAAATATGTGTCAAATAAAACTGTTTCATCACATTCTTTAATAATCCTGTGTTTTCTTATATATAATAAAATATGGCGGATTTCTGTAAAAGTAAAAAAGTTATACTCAACAAAAATATAAATGCAACACTTTTTTTTAATGAGATGAACTCGAAGGTCTAAAACTATTTCCACATACAAAATTTCCTGCAAATATGGTAAGTGGCCTGCTCTCATATAGTGCCTTTTCAAGTCATTAGACTTGTCCACTTTACACTACATTCAGTCATGCACTTCTCCTTTGCTTAGATAATCCATCTCACCTCACTGGTGTGCCATATCAAGATGCTGATTAGACACCATTGCTCTGTTCGAAAACCTAGGAGGCGTCCTTAGAGTGCCAGATTTGAAGGCCGATTACGTCATAGCGCGGCGCCGAGGTCTGGTCGGATTCCAAGAGTCCTCGTTACACAGTCTTAAAATGCGTCCTTCTTTTTGCCCGTTTTGAAGGATGGGTCCGATGTATCCTCGGTATCCTCGGATATCCCAGGATGCATTGCGAGACCAAG